GAAAAAAAAAAATTCTTAGTTTCCGCAAAAAAATGTTGTTTTCAACACTGATAATGATAAATGTTTTGTTGAGCAGCAAATCGGCATATCAGAGTAATTTCTGAAGGATCATGCAACACTGAAGGCTGGAGTAATGATGCTGAAAATTCAGCGCTGCATCACAGGAAATAAATTACATCAAAAAATGCAATCCAATAGAAAACAGTTATTTTAAACTGTAATGATATTTCATAATATTACTTGTTTTTTTCATTTAAATGCTGCCTTGGAGAACATAAGAGGCTTCCCTCAAAACAAGACAAAAATACTCCAATAGAAAACAGATGTTTTAAAATGCAAATAAATAAACAAACAAACAAACAAACAAACAAACATATAACAGTTTACTGTATTTTATTTTATTTTCAAATAAATTGGTGAACAAAGGAGACAAACACATTAAAAATATTACTGACCCCAAACTTTCAAACAGTAGTGTTTGTTTAAGACATTTATTTGTTATTGTTATTATTAAATTTAAATTAAAAAAAACAAAACAAAACAAAAATATGAGTAAATTAAATAATTTGCTTATTATTATTATTTATATAATATACATTTTATTCATATGGTTCTCTGTTTTCAAAACAGACCAAATAAATGGACACCTTTTGTGTTTCTTAAACATATCAGGAATATATTTTTCAACAGCTTTATTTTGTTACCTCTTACTGTTTGTCTCTCTCCCCCCTCCCCCCCCCTCCTCATTTCTTACATAAGTTGTATCAGAGCGGAGAGTTTCTGCAAACAGAGCTCTTTTGTTGTGCTGGAAAAAACAGGCCTGAATTCCATCAGGTGATCCAGTGATTGCATATAGAGGCCAATGAACCTGTTTGCACTTGGCTTGCAGCCTACATGACTAACAGTAGTAATTTGTAGTCTTTCCTGGCAGAGAGATGAAACACTGAGAGATTGGTTTCCTGTATGAGATGACACTATTGTTGTCTGTCTCTAGTAGCTGAGACAAAGTTGCAGGATTTGCTACACATTTCAGACTTGAACAGTTAGAACATCCAAACAAGAAGCAGCTCAAAAATGTATGAATGAGCTACATTCAAATCGTTTGTAAAAATCAGTTTATTGATATTATATTATATTATATTTAATGTATTCCATCTCTCTGCTTTGTGTTATGCCTAACTATATAATTTCACCATGGTACAATCACTGTAAAGCATGGCTTTTTACAGTAATGTCTACTGAAAGTTCAGCTTTGCCATGACAGGAATAAATTACTTTTTGAAATATATTTAATAAAAAATAAATAAAAAAATGTAATTTTGTGATCTGTAGTGAGAGCAGGGAGCAGGTGGAGGTTTGCTCTGGAGAGAAGAGGAATGAAGGTTAGTCGCAGCAAGACAGAATACATGTGTGTGAATGAGAGGGATCCAAGTGGAACAGTGAGGTTACAGGGAGAAGAGATAAAGAAGGTGCAGGATTTTAAGTACTTAGGGTCAACAGTCCAGAGCAATGGGGAGTGTGGAAAAGAGGTGAAGAAGCGTGTGCAGGCAGGTTGGAATGGGTGGAGAAAAGTGTCAGGTTTGTTGTGTGATAAAAGAGTACCAGCAAGAATGAAAGGAAAGGTGTACAGGACAGTAGTGAGACCAGCGATGTTGTATGGTTTGGAGACAGTTGCACTGAGGAAAAGACAGGAGGAAGAGTTAGAGGTAGCAGAGCTGAAGATGTTGAGGTTCTCTTTGGGAGTGACGAGGATGGATAGGATCAGGAATGAGTACATCAGAGGGACAGCACATGTGAGATGTTTTGGAGACAAAGTTAGAGAGGCCAGGTTGAGATGGTTTGGACATGTTCAGAGGAGGGAGAGTGAATATATCGGGAAAAGGATGCTGAGGTTAGAGCTGCCAGGCAGGAGGCCGAGAGGAAGACCAAAGAGGAGGTTTATGGATGTAGTGAAGGAAGACATGAAGGTAGTCGGTCTGAGAGAAGAGGATGCAGAAGGGGATAGGGCTAGATGGAGGCAGATGATTCGCTGTGGCGACCCCTGAAGGGAACAGCCGAAAGGAAAAGAAGAAGAAGAAGAAGAAGATATATATATATATATATATATATATATCTCTCTATATATATATATCTCTCTCTACATATATATATATCTATCTATATATATATATATATCTCTATATCTCTATATATATATATATATATATCTCTAT